AAAAACTGCTGGGAGAAAAAGGGGGAGATCAAATGATATACCATTTTGACCTAACTACATCTGCCAGAATCAACTTTACGATGGTCTCTGTCTGATAACAGGACTATTCAAATCCCTCCAAAAAACCATCTGAATTTCAGAAAAAATTTCATTTACTCTAGACACTTTCATGCCTATCAAGCCAGTGGATCTCAGCTTTTTACAACAAGGATTCTGGCATCTCGATTGCATAGATCCAGTATGATACTTTCAGGCAGCTTATTTCTGACTGTACATGTTTGCATCTCCTTTGTGATGGCAATTCCATACTGCCCCACATAGTACCTTTGAGGAGCCTTGGTAGCTTAGTGGTTACGAGTTGGGTTATAATCTGAAAGGTCAGCAGTTCGAAACCACCAGCCTCTCCTTGGGAGACAGATGGGGCTTTCTTCTCCTGTAAAAACAGTCTTCAAAACTCATAGGAGCAGTTCTACCCTGTACTACTGAGTTGCTATGAGTTGGCATCGACTCAATGTCAGGGAGCACAACTGTCAGAGTCCCATTCCAAACCTCCTGGATCAGAAGTATTGGGTGTGGAAACAAAAACCTATGTTATTCTTATGTGCAGCCAGAATTAGGAACTGTTGGATACATTGAAAGGCAGAGAAACTCAAAGATGTAAATCTAGGAAAGATATGGTTCCAAGGCTTTAACATAAAAAATGTGGTTTATAACTCGCTCCATTAAGGGACTCTAACAAAGCAATTGGCTTATGAAAGAAACATTCTCCCCTCCCCACTCCTAAATCCTCGATGTGATGAAAATATAAGTTTAAAAAATCCCTTAAAAAATCACACTTACCCTTGGACATGAGCAGTCTACGTCATCATCCATGTTGTTCATTGTAATGGTACCTATTTAAGAACTGAATAACGAACGCTCCGTTTCTAAAGGGATCCTCCTCTCTGCCCAGTGGCTCTGAAATTCACCCTTTATAGCCCATTGGATGACACCAAATAGAGAATTTTCTGTGACGTTCTGGAAGCTCTGTTCACAGAGCTGCCTTTCTGAGGTCACAGATTCCAGCCTCCAAGAGTTCCTTCAGAAGAGGAGAGAAACAGGAGATAGAGAACGAAGGGGCAGCAGTGAGTGTCTGCTGGGTTTTCTTACTCTGTTCCATATTCCTCTTGCAGCAATCACTCTTCCTTTCCATCAAGTGGTTCTGTTTTGGGGGGTTTCCCCCCCCCAGGAAAACACAGAGTTCACTTCAGGGTGAAAATGGAAGCAGAATTATATACTAATACTGAGAAAAGAGGAAGCAAGTACCCCAACAGCAACCCTCTGGCAGCCCCCTCTCTGCACTCTCCTCACTCTGGCCTGTCTCACACAGGTCTTGGGACTTTCTAGTCTCTAGGTTTCCGCGTCTGTTACTAAGGGAGAGGGGCCTCTGGCATGCTGGGACACAAGACTGGGCTTGACCTGGCTGCATGTTCTGATCTTGGCTGGGGGCCAAGCCAACAGCAGGAAGGGTTGAGGACAAAGGGGAAAATGAGAAGATGTTTAGCAATGGTCATGTGTGGGCTGTGATCCAAAAGTCCTGGTGTTCAAAACCACCAGTCACTCCTTAGGAGAAAGGCGAGGCTTTCTACTCCCCTAAAGAGTCACAGTCTCAGAAATTCCCAGGGGCATTTCTACTCTGTCCTCTGGCCGCTATGCGTCAGTCTGCATCGACTTGGTGGCAGTTTTGAGTTTAGCAATGATCCAGGAATGGAAATATCAGCGACAATAGCAGTGGCCTTTGGTGAGGTCTAAATGCACATAGCATGGAGGTTAGAATTTGGATTTCTAGAGCTGGACAAGTCTGGATTCAGATCTTGTTCTTCCTATAAGGTAGCTGTGGCTTCAGTAAATTGCCTCATCTCTCTAAGCAGTTGCTTTCTCTGTAAAATGGCAATAATATTTTTACCAACTTCGCCAGCTTGATCTGAAGATTTTATAATACTTTAAAATATTGTAAAATTCTCAAAAGGTAGAAGGATAATCAACTCATCTAGTTTTCTCAGGACATCCTGGGTTTTAGCTTTGAAAGTCTGCATCTTAGGAATTGCCTGAGCTCTGGGCAAACTAGAGCTGTTGGTTATCCTACCGCATGTTGCTCTAAATGTTGGCCTATAAACACAGAAGCTCAACCACGCTGTAACAATATGAGCTACTGATCTGGTTGTCTTTCAAAATGCTCTCAAAACCAAGTTAGTCATGAAGAGAAATGAAGTTCTGACAGATGGTACAATGTGAGTGAAATAATGTTAAGAAGTCATTATATGAATGATATCTCAGGTGAGATATCCAGAATAGGAAAGTATGTAGAGACTAAATTCACTAGTGGTTACCAGGAATGGGAAGAGTAATTGAAATTCTGATGTTTTCTTACATATATCTTTACCACAACAAACAAACTGAAAAACAAGTTAGACTTAATGAGCTCTTTATGGATACTATGCTTGCCTGTCTGTTTTCATGCAATTTCCTCCAAACTCCACGCTGTTCTCACTTTATGGATGAAACAATAATAATAATAATAATAAAATCAGAGAGATGTAGAACTTTCCCAAGTTGACACAACTCCTAGATAGTGTTGACCCAGTCTGGATCCTATTCTTTTAATTCCAATTTTGACGTTCTTTCCATGAAGGTTTCTGTATTGCACACAATCACTTCTGAGATCCTACAATGAGTGTTGCATAAAAGAGCACCATCCTTTTATTCTCACTCCCTCCTCAAGGGCTCAGGCTCTCCACACTTGCACAAGAATCCCGAGGCTTCTCATCTCATAGGTTCCGACTCTATAGGGTGTACATCTGTTTCAAACGGTTTTTGCAGTAAACAAGCCAGTGGCAGGGTTTGGAATTTGGGTGTAGACAAATGGAGATATTATCAGGTCCAGGTCCTGCCAAAACAGCAGCTGTACCCCATAAAGAATCAGAATGTGCCCAGTATAGAGTTAATAAAGCCCTGGTGTGTAAGTAGGAGAAGCTCATCCAAATGAGCTTTGTTGTTTTCAGTTGTCAAAGAGTTGATTCTGACTCATGGGGATCCATGTGTGTAGAAGCAATCGAGTTTTCACGGAATGACTTCTTGGAAGCACATCACCAAGCCCGTCTTCCAGGGTGCCTCTGTTTGGCTTTGAAATGCCAATCTTCAGCTACTGGTTGAACACTTAACTATTTACATCTGGATCTTAAAATTAGTGTGATTTAATTCTGATGCTGTAAGCTGTCAAATTGATTCTGAATCATAGCAACCCCATATGACAGTGTAGAAATGCCCTACAGAGTTTCTAAGTTTCTTTACAGAGCAGATCACCAAGTTTTTTCTCCTACAGAATGACTGGTGGGTTTGAACTGTCAACATTTTGGTTATAACGTCAAAGCTCATCTATCGGGCTACCAGAGTTCCTTATGCTTTAAGCCCACTGTGTCAGGTCTGTTGGCTACAGAAACAAATCCAGAGACACTCATATATGTGTAAGAGAGAGCTTTATGTCAAGGAGAAATTATGTATTGAGAAAATAGCCCAGGCCAGTCCACCTCAAGTCTATAAGTCCGCTACTTGTTCATAAGTTTCTCTTCAGACTCACTCAGCCACATGCAATGATGCAGAATGCAGGAAGATCACAGGTTGGTGGGTGCAAAGTCTTGTGGATCTGATGGGGGTGGTAACATTGCAGAGCTCTGGCCGCAACCAGGGTCAGTCAGCAGGAAGGTGAAGACAGAGAGAGAGGGGAGCTTCCCAGGGGTCTCCTTATGAGAAGGCCACAGCCACAAGGAGGCACCATCAGGCTGTGACCTGATTGACGTTAAATATTACCCCTACACTTTTATATATCTTCAAGTTGACATAGAATTATGTAACTACCACACTATCTTGTGTTCAAAAGAATCAAGACAGAACTGGCTTGAAGTGAGCATATATACTTGCGATAGGGATTGGTGCTAAGCACTTTATGAGCATAATCTCTTTGAATCTTCTCAACAATCCAGATGATCAATTCTAATCCATTCCAATCCTGTTGTCTCCCATCAATCCCCAATCACAATGACCCTGTAGAGTGTCGACTAACCCACTGGGGTTTAATAAAAGTAACAAGTGCCTGGGAAAATCTGTAAATTGCTAAATCCTGCCTCAGTACACGAATAGTTCAAATAATGTGACATTGTATGATATCCACTTTCTGGACATGATTATTGAAGACAAAATGGGTACATAAGCAAATATGGTAAAGAAAGCTGACAGCACCTGGGGTCTTAAAGGTTTGTAATTAAGGAAGCAGCTATCTAGCAGGGAAACAACAAAGTCCACATTGAAGAGCACACCAGCCCATGTGACAATGAAGGAAGAGGTAACAGAAGTTCAAAAACACATATAATGAAAAGGGGTATGGATGCAGTTGAGACCCCAGACTCACCTGTAAGGTTAATTGGACAGTCCCTCTCAGAAAGGCCACAGGGAAAGGATGATAAATCCAGGGTGGGATATGCCACTGATGAACCACATACCCTAATTATCCACTAGTTAAAATATTTTCTACCCTTAATATTAAGGCTGTTATTTGTTTTACCTCATTAATCATGCTAGATTTGCATATGTTCATTTGTATATTTGATTGTTCAGTACATGAAAGTTAAGATGATAACCCTGCAGAAACAGTAACAGGAGTAATGGTTCCTTGAGGGTGCAGGAAGAGAGATGGGGGAGGGAAGGGAGAAATGGGTTGCTGATACCATTGATGACTGTTTAACCCCACTCGAGGGGAGCAAACAACAGAATTATATGGAATGGATATACTGGATGGTGTAAGATACAGCAAAATAAAGGGGGGGCGTTTACTGCAGGGTAGGGTGGGGGAGGGAGGGACTAAAGGGGAGCTGATATCAAGGAATTCAAGAAGAAAGAAAATGTTTTGAAACTGACTGGGAGCAATTTTAAAATACTGTTTGATGTGATTGAACTGTGGAATGTTATGATATCTGTAAGAGCTCCCAATAAAATGAGTTCAAAAAAGTAATTTTTCTAAAAAGTGCCCCAAAGACTGAAAACACCATTCCCTCCATCCCCCGGGCCACTTTGTCACCTACACACAACAGTTTGTTGTCCTTTATTCAATGTTTCATAATTCCCCAAAGGGAATTCAAGTACCATAATCCCCCAACTCCACGTGCACAGGGACACCAGATAAAATAGGGAACCCCCAGTTACATTTTAAATGTCAACCTTTGTTGTAAACAAAGGTATAGAAGGAGACTGACACCATGGTGCGACAAGGGCCTCACAGCTCACGATGATGAGGATGGTGCAGGACCAGGCAATGCTGTGTCCCTATGAGGGCAACCTAACAACATACCCCCTTCAACATCTGGGACATATGTATTCATTCAAAAAGTGAAATTGTTTCCCTGAAATTCAAATTTTACTGTGCAGGTTTACTGGCTAAAACAGGTACATGGCAAGATGCAAATAACTAGGTTTCAGATTGTCCAAGTCTCTGTGGCACTAACATTTTAGGCTCTTGTTGTATTGCTGGGAAATTTCACACAATTATTATTCCGAGTCCAGTACTTCTGGCAGATTTTTCTGAAGCCTGACATAGTAGCTTAGCTAAAGCAAACATTGTGGATTGAATTTGGCCCTCCCCTGCAATATGCACTGCAAATCCTGACC